AAAAGATTCATTTAAATTATTCTATAATTCAGGTTATTGCTTATTGAATGGCTCTGCCATGCAGGACTGACCACTGAGGCTACATAATGCTGTCAATGAGTAAAATCCAATCAAAACTTCAATTATCTTCTTTTTCAAAACCATTACTGGCCTTCCAAGTATGTTTTTCTTCTTTCTCTAAACAAAATCAATTTATCGATATGGATTAATAAAACCGATCATCAATGGCATGCAGATACCAACCAGAGCAAGACCGTTGTATTATTGTACTGCGAAAAACAGCTGTTCAATCAGGTTCTACAAAAATATAAATGGACTTAAGCTGCCACCACAACGCTTGGCACATCAGAGATGTTCTAAATGCATGCATGAATGCTTCTCAAGGTTAGAGACATGCATAACTCCAGTGGCTCTCTCTCTCTTCCACGTGTTAGCAGTTTCAGCAAATTCTGCTACAGTTTTCCATGCACCTCATGTTTGCATGTTGTAGCTTAAACAGGTTTCAGCTCCTGTAGTCAGTGGAAGACAGCAGTTCTATGAAATGGTTATAAAGACATATTACAGTCAGCCACTTCCTAAAACACATCTCAGCCATCCTTTTTGTTCACTAGTAGCACCATAGTGATTCTGACCTCACAACAGCATTGTGATTACCAATGTAAGATCTAAAACATCCCCCTTACTATGGTAATTACCACTGGCTGTTACTTGTCTCTTTTTCGCTGTACACAAAAATAAGTCCGCTCTGTCTGTGTTTTCTATTCACTTCCTCTATCTTTTTCTTTCTTAAATTCAGTAGCAGTTTCAAAGGGGAAGAGATAGATAGTGTACGGTAAAATAAAACCCCTGCCATACTGGCATGCCACTGGAAGAATCGTTTGTCTTTAAATAAATACTATAGGCTAATCAGGACATAGTGTACTAATGACTAAACCTGGCCTTCTAGTACATATTGCCAAAAACATCAATTGTTCAAATATGAGCGCGCACACACACACACACACACACACACAAGAGTCTTTTTGGGTGAACTGTGTATAAAGCGATCAGTATTGTTCAAATGCTGGGCCTTTACCAATTTACAAAGCGCTGGGATGGTTTACTCATTACTGGTTAAGTTGGAAATGGATTGTGGATGTGGATAAAAATCGTTCTCGTGCCTCCCTTGACGGAAACGCCATAGATTCTAGACCTCATCTGAAACACAGAGCTAAAAAAGGTATAATTTAATTTTCAATAACAAAATAACATTTCAGTTTCTGTTAAAATATACATGGAAAAACTGTTGATATATTAGGAAACTAACTACTTTTTGTACAAAAAGTACAGCATTGTTATTGTAATTAAGAATAATCATAGCATGATATCCACAAAATACAAACTTAAGAGCAAGGCTGATATGGAATAAAAAAAACTTTATACAATGGGATTTCTTTCTATTCAGAAAGACTCAGGATGAAAAATTATAATAATAATTAAAGCTGCAAGCAGCATTTAGCGGTGTTCAAGCAGTTAAGGCCTTTAAGGCCGTTAAGCACAAAAGCATCAAAAGACATTAAGTTTTATGTAGCAAGCATTTAACCATTGACATCATAGATGGAATAGACCATGTTTTAGCATGATTTACCATGATATACCAAATTTAGTGTGATTTTTCATGATCTACCATGTTCCAGTATGATTTACCATGAATCTAGCATGATTTAACATAGTTTACCATGATTTACCATGTTATAGGATGATTTACCATGATATACCACATTCTAGAATGATTTACCAGGATTGTAGCATGATTTACCATGATTCATCACATTGCTAGCATGATTTGCCATGATACACCATGTAATAGTATTTTTTACTATGATTTACCATGTTTCTATCGTGATTTACCATGATTTACCACATTGCTGCATTGATGTGAAGTGCCAATAAAAATGAAGTGATAAACTCTGACAAAAAATGATTGTGTTATAATAGTTAACATGGAAAAACTGGTTTGCTTTAGTGCTTTGATTTACTGTTGAAAATCAAGTGTGTCAAAATGAGAGTGAGCCAATAAGTGGTCTTCTACTGCCCTCTGCTGGCCATTCTACTTATTAATAAAGTGTTTTCACAGGTGCTTTTGCACTCATATGTAGACATTTGCTCACACACACACACACACACAAAGTCATTATGAAAATATATTTTAATGGTCTATAAGCATTTAATGTCTTTGCAAGCTATTAATCAGATTATTCAGAATTTATTCAGAAACATGGGACTACACACACACACACATTCTATTGTAGATTAAACTGTCTCATTCAGGGTTCACATTTGTCAATGTGACAATAAATTTTGACTAAATGTGATTGTAAATGTTAAAATAGTGATTATGTTAATTCTAAAAATGAATTATAGAACAATGATAGTCAGCATTATGACAAAATTACTATTTTAAACAGCAGGGGGCAGTAAAACACCACTTATTGGCTTAATATGCCACTATATTCATATCATTTTCACCTTTTTAACTGTTATAGAGGCAAATTTTGTCCGATCTGTCTAAAATTTGTCAAGCTTGTTTAGAGTGATATGTCCTGACCTTTTTTTAAGAAGATCTGAGCATTCATTGAAGAGATATAGGTTTTTGGGGACATTTGGTCAAGGCTACATATTGAAGTGACCCTATTATAGCCATCCAAATTAAGAAGTTATACCTTTTCTGATCATTATTGATCTAGAGAGTCCAGAGAATTGTACTGCACTGGTTTTAAACATTATGATATGAAAAGTATACGATCATAGATGGAAAAGACAATTTACAGCCAATACAGGCAATTTACCATAGGAAATGTATGGTTTTAAAGCTTTTTAACAGTTATAGCGCCACCTATGGTCTGATCTCCATGAAACTCTGCATGCTTCTTCACCATGTTATGACACATGTGCTCATCAATTTTTGTGAAGTTCTGAGTTTTTATTTATGATTTATAGGCTTTTGAGTGTATTTTGACACGCCCCCTTTTCTAAATGACCCCGTTACAGTGAACCAAAGGGCAAAGTTCAACTTTTTTTTGATAATTATTGATCTAGAGAGTCCAGAGAATTGTCCTAGACTGGTCTGGTTCCGATCGGGCAAAAAACCAGGGACTAGTTCGCAAAAGTAGGTTTTTAACATATTCGTGAATATTTAATGAACGATTTGATTGACAGCAATGGTTCTAGAGGCAAAGTTGTTCACCATGAGGATATCTATAAAATGATATGCATTTTGGGGGGATGTGTGCAACACCACGTGATTACAGAGCCGTAAAACTCGTTAGCGCCAACTAGTGGCCGATTTCTTTCAAAACTCTTACAGACCTCTTAGGCCATGAGTCGAACATGCCCATCGAGTTTCGTTCCGATTGGCCTCCGTTAACCTCGTCTCATAGGGGCTCAAACTTCATTGGTCAATGGCGGCCATGTTTTTTGAGATACGCCAATGTCCTCATAGACATACATGGGGCCTTGGACCAAGACACTGCATACCAATTTTCAAGTCAATCGGACTAACGGTCAGTCCTTTATATGTTTTTTTCATGTTATAGCGCCACCTAGTGTTCGATCGTCGCGATTTTTTTACTGTGACCTCAGATTGAACTCATGCACAACTGTACCAAGTTTGGTGAACCTACCTAATTTACTTCTGGAGTTATAGTCGTTTTAGTAAAATAGGCTCCTCCCACAACGTTCTTTTTGCGCCCCCTAGCGACCGGAAATCGAAATTTCAACTTTTTTACGATTATAATTTATATTCAGACTCCACAGAACATTTGTGCACTGGTTTGGTTCCAATCGGGCAAAAAATCAGGGACTAGTTCGCAAAAGTCGTTTTTTGACAAAATTCAAAATGGCGGAAAATCTATCATGACGGAAATGAAATCGGAGATATACGTTTTTTAAGTCAGGAGTCCAGCTTTCCAATGATATAAGACACTTGAGTCTACGATTTACGGTCTAGGAGTTATGAGCAGTTTTGCGCAATTGGTTGCTATAGCGCCACCTATGGGCCAATCGGGCTCATAATTTGATAAGCTCTCCTCGATTTTTGTACTACCATCTGACAAAGTTTCAAGTCTCTAGCACTTACGGTTTGGTCTGCACGATGCGTTTTACGGCAGAAGAATAATAATAATAATAATAATAATAATAATAAAAATCCTTACAATTACAATAGGTTTTCAGCACTTCGTGCTTGAACACCTAATAATAATAAAGCAAATGCACATACTCATGAAAACAAAAATGATGTACTTATTTCTTAAAAATCAAACCCTTACAGTATTGCACATCTACTGTAGCTAGACTGGATCTATGGGTGCTAGTTGCTTTTAAATCAGTCGTGAGAACTTCTTCAACATATATCGACACTATCGGGTCACATAACAGAACACAATTTATACCAATTAATTTTTCTGTATCCATAAGAAAGAACCCTTTTAAAATGATTTCTACTTCACAGCTTGCTACCGCCTAAACACAGTTATATTCCTAAAACGTATTTGACACCCTAAATCTCAAGCCACCAAATACAGAACTCAAATGTACCCATCAATTTTATTCAAATAACATCATTTCCAGTCTTTCTTCAGGTCTCGCTTTCAAAATAACTTGCACATTCTTACCTTACATATAACCCTCTGCTGATCTGATCGTCGGTGTGGTCAATTATAGCAGCCTTCAGAAAATTACTAAGCGTTAAATAACGTATGGACATGAATTATGTATAAACTCAGAAAAGCATTGGTTTTCCACGTTCTCACGCTCTCCAAACCCACTATACTGAACCAACTTGCCGTCTCTCTAGACTTAACGCACCACATTCTTTAATAAGACTTTAATCATTTTTATTGTAAAATAAATATAAATAAAGGCAACATTTTCTTGTTGCAACAAAATATTTCATATTCCATATTTAAGGAATAATATAATAATCTAAAGTCTTTAAATTAAGGTTGTTGTTGTTGTTGTTTTTTTTGTTTTTTTTTATTTTTTGTAAAAATAAAATACCTGAAATGACCTGAAATCCAAAAAAAGAAACCAAAAACCCAAAAAATGTCTTTGTAAAAAAAGAAGAAAAAAATAAAGGTGTAAAAATGGGTGGGGGAGAAAACTAAAAGTGGAAGAGAAGAGGAGCTGTGGGCCTGGTGGTCCACCGTGTATCAGCAGGAGTGTCATGAAAGAAGCTGGGTTCATGGGACAGGTCGGTGCCCTCCACCTCTCTCTCTCTCTCTCTCTCTCCACGTGTTTAGCGTCTTCTCGACCCCAACAAGGGAGGCTTTACGAGCTTTAGTGCCTCATTTTCACTTGTTAATGAGCAGCCCGCCCACCCAGCGGAGCTTGCAGGCAAACCACCGTCTGAGGGGACAAAAGTATTCGTAATGGAACTGCTCAAACTCGGGGGTCTGGCGGATATCACGTAAAAATGCAATGTCAAGGTCGGACTCAGTAAGGATGATGAGGAGGAGGAGCAAGACAAAGAGGAGTCCAATGGTCACAAGGAGCAGACGGAGTACACTTAAAACAAACTTATTCACCTGTTCCGTCTCGCTGAGCGTGGCCTCCCCGCCTGCGCTCTTCAAGGGGCCTGTCGCCCTACTGTCCGCCCCTAACTCGGCCAAGTCTCCCACGCTGGGCGTCCCCGCCTCCGACTCTTTCTCCTCCTCGATGCTGCAGGGGGCGCCGTTGATCTGGCGTGAGACTGCCAGCTCCAGGCTGTGCTCGGCCACCGGTGTGGGCAGCACGCTGTCGGAGGGACTGTAGGTCTCGTCGGAGATGACCGCCGTCCCGTCGCCGGAGTCCATCACATGGCTGCGCGAACGTGACATAAAGGAGTCGCCGTGGGACACGGAGCGCACTGGAGTGGAGTGAGCGCTGTCCCGCAAGGATTCCAGACCTGGACAGTAGGAAGGGGAAAGATAAAAGAGAGACAAAAAGGCAACTTGATGATTTATAAATAACCCATTATAATCAGTGATTCTGTCTACACTGGATGCGACACGACAAATTCCCGACAGTAAACTGATGCCCCGTTCTATTTCTGACACACTTCAAGACTCACACTACTTCTGACATGAAGAACAAAAGGATTTGTCGCGTCAAGTGTAGACACAGTGTTACGTTGAGTCCGAAATCAAGTACTGAGTAGGTACTGCATTTGAATTTGAATTGCGACCGTTAAAAAAGTAAGTTATATATAGTATGAATATGGGTAGCATGAAAGGAATTCGGACATACTACATCCGCCATGTTGTTACTGTCACGTGACCTACCAGCGTCAGTTGCAACGTGCCAGAGTCCCAAACAAACAAGTCAGGTGGGAAAATGCCCTAAAATACATTTACAAAATAGATAGGGTGAAATTCTTCTCATGCCAACTTTAACATTGAATGTCCAGACTTACAATGCATAGGCTGCCAATGCTACATCATATATGTGTTTTACATTTATCTGACGCTTAAGCGACTTACAATTGCTATATATGTCAGAGGTCGCACGCCTCTGGAGCAACTAGGGGTTAAGTGTCTTGCTCAGGGACACATTGGTGTCTCACAGTGGATTCGAACCTGGGTCTCTCACACCAAAGGCATGTGTTTTATCCACTGCGCCATCACCACCTTTAATACTTTATGTGTTAAAGTTTGAAGTATGTCGAATATACAATAATCACGAAACATTACATAACAATATGAAAAATATGCACAAATTTCCTATTTTAGGGTTTTGTCACAATCTGACAAGCAACAATCGGAAAGGGAAGGGGGGGATGACACGGTGTGCATACGGCTTGATGGGGCTTGATGGGGAATATTAGAAGGGTATCATGCAGGTGACAGACCTAGATACTAAATCACAGACCAGAGCGCTAATGTGAAAAGACATTTCCCAGCTTGTTTGCACTGATAGACACTGTACTAAAAGGCACTGGGAATCACATGTACAGTATTGACAGGCAAACAGCCAACTTACCGAGGTGCTGTAATAATTAGCAACACATGGTAAATCAAAAGGACTACACCTCGCAATACAACATGCAGACGCATAGCGCACAGTCTTCAATTGCTACTAAGTTAGAAAGGCTTTAAACAGCAGATAGCAGCCCATTATAATTCAGTACAGAAGTTGCATGATATACAGAAGCTAACTGGGAGTGGAAGTATATTTCTGTTCTTAAACGTAACTTTAACACTTATGTTAAGAGGATTCGTCACAGTAAGCGACCTCAGAGACCACAAAGTGAGGATGCTACAAATCTCCCATAAATCCTCGTATGCCCTTTTCCTCAAGGAAGCCAAAGTAGAAAAACATGCTAGCTTTTGCTGAGCATTAGATTCTTGAGCATGTCACTGCAGATATGTTACATCTCTATTCTGATGTGAAAGGATTAGGATTTCGACATTTTACTGCTCAACCAGATTCCTCTCATTCACAATATTAAATGCCCTGTCAACGACATGACGCATGAAAGCACATCTACTGTAGTGCATTTTTTCGAGTTTTAAGATGCCTGAAATTGAACAACTTAGATTTTACTTGAATTATAAGCTGCAAGAAAAACGCTTGTGAAGCCTTTGTATTTACCTGTACTTCTGCATTAATAATTCATAAAAATGTGCAAGCCTCTTCAACCAAAGAAAAACACAATCTACTTTGTTTTTGCATGCCAATATGTTGTTTAAACAAAAATGTGAACCTTGCAATAACTAACTGACTGTTAAATCTTCTTTTGCAGTAAAATCTTCCATTAGCACTAGTTTAAAGAAATCCTATTTTTCTTTAAACCGGTTTGAACTTTTTGTACTCTTCAGTTGATATATCTAATGTATTATTTAAGTTAATCACTCTCTTCAGTATCAACAGAATTGATGTCTGGACTGAGAGCACAATTTCTTCTGTCAAAGCAGTTCAGTTGCTGAATTACTTCTTTATTGAGTCAATGTCTTCTTGTATCACCCAGCTTCAGGTGATAGAAGGCTACTCTGATACTATCATCCAATTCACAGCTGGAATGAGATTTCGGTTTTAGTGTGCAGTCCTCCAAACATTATGCTGTACACTTCTGCAACTCCTGCAGTTCTTTAGTTGCAGTAACAGACTAGACTGTGGATTAATGAACACCCAGGAACGCTTCTACAGCTTTCAAACTTCTAACATGCTCTGTAGAGTATTACGATCAGGACATATGAAGAGCCTTTTCTTGAGAAGAGAGCAGCTTCTGTTAAAGGGTTAGTTCACCCAAAAATGAAAATTCTGTCAGTAATTACTCACCCTCATGTTGTTCCAACCCCGTAAGACCTTCGTTCATCTTCGGAACATGAATTAAGACATTTTTGATGAAATCTGAGAGCTGGATCACTCCTCCATACTAGTCCATTGGCTTCTTCAGGGATTGAACTTGCCGGCCTCGAAAAGTTATGAAAGACATCGTTAAAATAGTCCAAGTGACTACAGTGGCTCAATCTTAAGTTTATCAAGCGACGAGAATACTTTTTGTGCGAAAAAATAAATAAATAACGACTTTATTTCAACTATTAATTTCCTTCTCTTTGGGCCTCGAGTCAGTTAACGTAGTGTGATTCCGTAGAGCTACGTCACACGTAGGCTCACTATTGGCCGACGCTGGTTATGTGCGTGATGCGTGTGACGTACAACAACAGAAGCTTACGCTATTACACTAGTGAACTGACTCGAGGCCCAAGGAGATGGACATGAATAGTTGAAATAAAGTCGTTTTTTTTTTTTTTTGCGCACAAAAAGTATTCTCGTCGCTTGATAAACTTAAGATTGAGGCACCATAGTCACTTGGACTATTTTAACGATGTCTTTAATAACTTTTCGAGGCCGGCAAGTTCAATCCCTGAAGAAGCCTATGGACTAGTATGGAGGAGTGATCCAGCTCTCAGATTTCATCAAAAATATCTTAATTCGTGTTCCGAAGATGAACGAAGGTCTTACGGGGTTGGAACAACATGAGGGTGAGTAATTACTGACAGAATTTTCATTTTTTGGGTGAACTAACCCTTTAATGAGTAAGGTAGAGTACCTTCAATCCACACATCTCATTGAATAGTTCAACAATTTATAGACAAGTAACTGTTTATTTCAAATGTACTCTTTTGTTCAAAAGTTTGGGGGCGGTATGATTTTTTAAAAGGTTTTAAAGTCACCAAGGTTGCATTTATTTGATCAAAAATGAAAACAGTAATATTGCAAAATTTATTAGTTTAAAATAACTTTAAATGCAATTTATTCCTGTGATGGCAAAGCTAAATTTTCAATGTCAGTCAGTGTCATTTCAGGTCTTCAGAGTCACTTGACCGTTCAGAAATAATTCTAATATGCTGATTTGGTGCTAAACAAAAAACATTTCTTATTCAAATTCTTCGATTTATTGCATCCTTGCTCAATAAAAGCAGTACCAACCCCAAACTTTTGAATGGTACTGTGTGTTCTACATAATTAAAGTGCTTTTTATGCTGAAAACTAAAAAAAACACTGCAGCAACACCAAAAGAAACTCCATTACCTGCCTTTTCTATTCTAACCCAATTTCATCATAACAAAGTAGAAATACAATATATCTTACTGAAAAGACCTTCAGAAAAATCTATTTAAACAACCAATCAAGCATCTGAAGCCCAAACTAAAACGCATTAGACTTTACCTATAGCTGTGACGGGCACTGCATAAGACGGTGAAGTCATGGGTAAAGGTGATGCCCGCAGCTGGTCCTGCTGCCCCGTGAGTGCCGGGTAAAGGGGCAGCACACCAAGGGCCTTTCCCAGCATTCGAGGCCCCAAACTCAGCACCCGAACCTTTACATCCCGATAGCAGTGGTTGATCATGCGCAGGTGGACGTTCACCCGCGTGGTGATGCGGATTAGGCACTTCACCATGTTTATCTCCCAAAAGCGAACGTAGAAACCCTGGTACCGGTGCCCTCTTTCCACCGTGGGCTGCTGGGTAAAGGCTTGGCTGTGCTGGTAAACGGTGGCGAATCGTACCCCACCCAGACCTCTCACCTCCTCCCTCCCTCAGCCAGTGACTTAAATGGCGAGGAAAGGCCCTGTCTATTTTCAGACGAGGGTATTAATACTCCTTGAAGACTCACAGTCAGCACATGTAGGACAGTTGACTTTATCCTCCAAGCTCTCTGAATCGTTCGCACTGCAGACAAGAGCTCTTCACAACATCTTCAGATGGTCTTTGCGCTGTTCCAGAGAGATACAGTGATCAGGGACTGAACCGCACTTCGTCTATGTGCTCATGTTAAGAGTGGGCAGTGCTGTGTTGTGATGCTGGTCTAACAGTCAGGCTCAATAGATGAGACCCAGAATAAAGGGGTGGGCAGAGGACACCGGTAAGCCTTTGATGGGTGGGACAAGATGGCACAGCTGGTGCCACAGGGAAGTGTTAGTACTGACTGTACACAGCTGGCACAGAAATAGAGTTCTGTGACTGACAGAAGCACCTGCACCTCCAGTCCTCTAAGTGAGACTGCTCCAGCCTCATATTACTGCATGCGGTCAACTTTTCAACTCTTGTGAATACGCATGTGCATATATATATATATATATATATATATATATATATATATATATATATATATATATATATATATATATATATGTAAAAAATACACACACACATATAAAAATGTATAATTAAACATTTTTATAAAAACAATTGTCAAATTATATAAATTATTTATAAAAAATAAAGATAAAAATGTACAAATATTTTGTATATTTGTAAATATTTATAAACTTGTAATAGTATATTTGTGAATTTTGCATAAAATTGTACACATTTTTAAAATGTATAAACACACACACAGATACATAAACATATCAGGTAAAAATGTATAATAAAAAAATATATAAAATAAAAATGTATAATTAAAAAAATATATAAAATGTAAATAAAACGATATTATATTAAATAATTTATTTAAATACAAATAAAAAAAATATTCTTTTAAAGGGTACCCCGACTAGTGTGGCATGTTGGCCTTATAAGATTAACGTGGGCGTCAGCTATAAAAAGGTGATACAAAAACACTCCAAATTTTTTTGATTTTATTAAAAAAAGACGAAAATCCGTTCACTCGTAGGCCGCCATAGTTATTTACATCTCAATGCATTCTGGGTAGTGACGTGTAAAGGTTGTAGCTAGCCCAGTTTTGACAGCAGCGAGATGAACACGTCTGCCGTTCAGCTTTTTTCAGTTTGAACCCAAGCGCACCTTAGGCTTAAATCAAGAGAATAACGCGGAAAACGATAGGCCTACTCAAGAGTTACATGAAAATGAAGATTATCAGAGAGTTGAAGAAGCGAGAGTGGGGCAAAATAGATGGTGTCTGGGGCAGTTTGCCAATGCCAAGCGAGAACGAGAGCGTTTGCTGTAAAGAGCTCCACTTTTTGTCAGCAGCTGATCAGACGATCGTACTATCGGTATAAATAATTTAATAAGTCATCTACCGCCGTCGTTTGCTTTATTTTCCCTAAGCAGTCACTATGTTGAACGCATAGAAATAACCTCTCGGACCTTGTTCAAAATCCTGCCGCGCCACAGAGCACCATTTACATAGTTTTATATTAAATGTACATTTATTTGTCTCAAATCGTTGTTAATGTATATACTGAGTTCACCCTGCGCAGCAATATACATTTAGTTTTACATTTATTTACAGAAATCAGCTGGTTGAATGAAAATTGCTGATGTTACCGGATTTTTAGGTGATATTCTCAATTCATTCAGTTAACGGACGCTCTGAGGTAAAGTGAATTCAGACTGCAGACTAATAAGCAACGATTGTATTTAATTGTACAGTACAATCATAACATAGTACAGACATGATCTTAGTTCCATAATGTCCTTCCTTAAACATAACAATATTGCTGGCCATAAACTGACAAAGTGCGCGTCCGGTGTGCGATACCTCGAGTTGTCATAGACGGGGCGCTGCGCTTCTCGTCCGGACCCGGTGTGCAACCCCGGGTTGAAGCGCTCGGGTTCAAACTGAAAAGGCTCAGTGAACGGCAGACGTGTTTATCTCACTACTGTCAAAACTTAGCTAGCTAGCCGGTACGTTGGAAAAACAATATATGAAGCGGCTACAGCGGCTAGGCTCAACCGACTACAACCTTTACACGTCACTACCCAGAATGCATTGAGACGTAAATAACTATGGCGGCCTACGAGTGAACGGATTTTCGTCTTTTTTTAATAAAATCAAAAACATTTGAAGTGTTTTTGTATCACCTTTTTATAGCTGACGCCCACGTTAAACTTATAAGGCCAACATGCCACACTAGTCGGGGTTCACTTTAATGAATATATTTTCATTACACACATACAGTACATTTATACATTGCACATTCACCTTCATAAGAAATCTTTTAGGGTGTATTCACACCAGGAAAGTCCGATACTTCACTTGCTTTGGTCCGGACCAAATAAAACGTTTTTTTTCTTTCTTTTTTTTTTTGGTACGGTTCGCTTTCACACTGCTCTTTTTGCAAGTGAACCAAAATTTGTAAACAAAACCACACGTGTGCTAAGGTCGTCCATTCATTGGACAAGGATTCTCAAGTAGAGAAATCAGGAAGTGCAAAAAAGGCTTAACGTAAATTAACGCAGCATCATCCTTGTATTGTAACCATCATTACATTATATGAACTGCAAATGTTTTTTTTTGCATCTATGCGCGATTAGACTAAAGAGAATGCTCTGTATGTGAAAGTCCTGATGCACACACTCATTCATTCATTCCATTCCAATGATGCACACACGACGCGCAGAAAGACGCACAACAGATGTAATGTAGTAGGCTACAACAGATCACTTTCCCATAACGCAACTCCGACTACGGAAGCCTGTTAACTCAAAGGCCCAGTGTTTTCTTGCAATTGGGTCGGTTCATGTTCACACCGTAAACGAACCGTACCAGAGTTCGTTTGGAACCGTACCGAGACCACCTCTTCAGCTGGGTCTCGGTTCGGTTGTTTGGTCCGCGCCCGAGTTCGATTGCTGTGTTCACACCTGCCCAAAAGGTCCGCACCAAGGGGGGAAACGAACTAGAGTTCGATTCAATCGAACCAAACAAGGCAGGTGTGAATACACCCTAAGTTTCCTTGACTGAGTACCTATACATTGTCTTCATGTCTTGAATTGCCCTTTATATATATATATTTCCTACAGCATTTGAATGTTATTACAAACCATTAAGTGATTTGACATTTAGCGCTCTGCATGTGTTTTCAGCGTAGCGTAGAGCTGAACTCAGGTTAATGGGCTGAACTGGACTCTCACCTTCCATGATGGATATGTGTACCGCTCTCCGGCGGGTGCGCGGGACACTGCTCAGCCGTGGCCCATGTGTGATGGATGGACAGCTTCTGCTGGGCACCAGGCCAGCCCTGTGACCACATACACATACAGTACTGCATCAACACCCTCATTTATCATATTACAGTATGTCCTACAACTACAGATATCAGTCAGTCTTACTGGGCATGCATGCACACATGTGACGCCATCAAAAGAACATGACCCAGTGTTAGCAATTATACGGTTAACACTGCCACACAGATGGGCACTCATGCATACCTATGTATTTCTGGAGGTTCCCGTTTAATTTTTGCACTCTGCTCCATTACCTCTTTGGCTACTCTTCCACTGAAATCAAACAAAAACGAATTACAAAAAAGTGTCCAGTTTTATCCCTGCTAGTGTCAAATATATTTGTTTAAAAAAAATGTAATCATCTTAAATACCCATATATATATTCACACTGTAACAAAAATGATATCACCGTCAATATCTAAAATATAGTTCTCTTTGTATTCACATTGTATTATATTATATTGCCGTAATCTTAAATAGCAAATATCTTCAATATAAGATGCACAAATATCCCCTGACTGGAAATATGTTACAGGACACTCACCACAGTAGCTGGCAGATGAGCAAAACTACCTGCCACTGTGCAAAAAGCACCTGCATATACAGTTGTTGCTGGGTGTTCATTTCACACACCCTGTTTTGAGACTGTTTCAGCTTCATCTATTCAAATCAACCAAAAGAAAACAGCTCAACCATTGCAACGGTTTCAAACAGCTGGCATTTTGGTGGGAATTGTGATCCCCGTGACTGAGGGATGATGGTGACCACTGCTACTAGAGTCCATGAAGCTCCGGAATTAGATTAACCTTATTGAGTCGCCTCTCTTAACTCGATCTCTGCCTCTCAGTCTGTGACTGAACTACTTCCCTTTAACAAAAAACTCCCAACGGAGTCATTGCCTTAAAATCCAGCCTGTCTCCTTACATAGGAGTGAGAAAATAACTGTTATCAATTTCCTAATTAGGCGTTTGAGCCTGAGAGCCCACTATAATAATGGACCGTGCTGTTTGTTCAATTGCCCCGATGGCTCCATTCATCTGTTACAATTGCTGGTAATAAGTAAACACTTGTGTCTAAGAGGTGGCCTGAGTGAACAGCACCATCCGCAGCAGGTTGTGGCGCATTGGCTCCGAAGCTGTCGCCTCTATGTGACCGTGACGAGGACGGCAGGCTGTTTTTGGAGCAGGGACCCCTGAGGCTGTGGTGGTCCACCGGCAGTGACCTATCCATCCACACTTACCTGAAGCGGAAACGACTCCCCTTGAAGAACAGGTTACTGCTGGACATCGTACGAACCTGGCTCGACTTCTCCAACCTGAGGACGGGCAGAGAGAAATCATTCAACTCGAAACGGTCTCTGAACACATTTACACATTTTTTAAGCTGCATATTCTGAATTAAGGAGATTTTCTCTTTTACACAAAAAATATGACACTGCTGTAATCAGATATGTACGGAAGCGTATTGCATTCACTTGAAGAAAAAAAAAACTACTCTGTTTTTCTGAATTAATGAGTTAATTATCTCAGAATTCCGAGATAATTTTTCATGGAAAAAAAGGTTTTGCTCTGTTTTTCTGAATTAACGAGTTAATTATCTCAGAATTACAAGATAATTTTTCATAGAAATTTCTTTTTTTTTTTGCTCTGTTTTTCCAAGATATTTTTTCATTCGAGTTTTTGAGATAATCAAGTCATTAATTCAGAAAAACAGAGCAAAAAAAAATTCCATGAAAAATGATCTTGCAATTCTGAGATAATTAACTCGTTAATTCAGAAAAACAGAGCAAAAACTTTTTTCCATGAAAAATTATCTTGTAATTCTGAGATAATTAACTCGTTCATTCAGAAAAACAGAGCAAAAACTTTTTTCCATGAAAAATGATCTCGTAATTCTGAGATAATTAACTCATTAATTCAGAAAAACAGAGTAGATTTTTTTTTCTTCAAGTGAATGCAATACGCTTCCGTAGATATGTTTCTAAGTTTCTTTTTACCTATTTACTGTGGTGGAGGAAGTACAAACAAGTGCTTGAGAACCCTAATAAAAGATTACTCCAGTAAAAGTAAGTACTTCTTTTCAATTTTACTTGAGTAAAAGGTTTTTTAATGTTCCCAAGTGTTAAAAGTTAAAAGTATAGGACCGATTTAACATATTAATTGAAAAGAAACGGCCTGATCACGAATCAGACATCACTTTGGAATGTTGTGAAGATAAAATTAAAATACTTTAAAACAAGTATAGATATTTGAAAATTTACTTAAAGGGATAGTACATCAAAAAAAAAAAAAAATCCTGTCATAATTTACTCGCCCTCATGTTGCTCCAAACCTGTATGAATTTTTTTCTTCTGCTGAACACAAAAGAAGATATTTTGAAGAATGTCAGTAACCAGACAGTTGATGGTAGCCATTGACTTCCAATGGATGTCAATGGGGCATCCATCAACTGTTTGGTTACCCATATTCTTCAAAACAGAAAGAAATTCATACAGGTTTGGAACAACTTGAGGGTGAGTAAATGACGACAGAATTTCATGTTTGGGTGAAATATCCATTTAAGTACAGTTACTAAGTAAAAACACTTTGTCTCTGTCCACCACTGGTTATATGATGACATAAACTGTAACCTGAAGCCGTAGACATCTGTGAAAACGTATTTTTCTAGACCTGCTATACTGTGTTAGATTATTATTTGCTATATTAGTTATAACTTGCCACATTCAATTAACATAAAATTGCATTGATCTGAGGACACAAGTATGTGTGCATTAACAATGACTTCAAATATGACATCCAATAAAAATCAGAATTTTCTTTCCAATATTCATTTTACAGTCTTTTGTTTTCATCTCAAAAGTTGCATAAAAACAGCTTTACATTTATAATGTGTTATGAACAATCTTACATCTTAGATTGCATTCATCAACTTCCAAAAAAAAATGGGATTCATTTTCAATTGTATTTCATTAGTTTAATTCAGCTGTATTTAAGAAAGTAACAGTGTTTTTTATTAAGTAAATACTAACGATTTGAATTATTTAATAAAAAAAGATCGATTTTTTCATACTACCTACCCCAATGACGTGCACATGCACATACAGTATCTTCTATGTAACCCTCAATGACTGAAACTGAAAGTATTCTGACTCAGTCAGTCTCTGGTGATCATTCGATTCAGGCTTTTCATCACCAGGTGTGGAATCTCCTTCCCCAAAGACAGCCTTTATGTGAATCATAAAACCCACTCTTCAATCATCATCTGCCACAAATTCCACTTCTCTAGGGGACTTGAGCTACAGCACATTTCTCTTTCCCCCCAGCGGAATGAATTCAGTCAGACTTGGAATACAATGCAGATTCAGTTTTGATAAGGCGCAATGCCAATGCAGTGATTACACCATTCCCCTCACCTAAATTGAGCTTTCCCACACTTCATGATGAGTGCTCAACAGACTCTTGTTCCAAAGATGTCACCTCACTTAGCCAAAATCGTTCATCATAAAACCAGCGGTGGCTCAGCAGTTCTGTGAGTCTGGGCTCATCCGTAACACTGCGGTCTTCCTTGAGCTGCAGGACGCTTTAAACACTTCCCATGGCCTGGGCAAGGACACGTACAGCCAACCGTGACTGAAATGTGCACGGACATCGCTCTGGAGGAGCTAGCAGGACCCATCTCTCATCGCTCAGGCAGTAAAGGTCATTCTCAGCACGCGGCTGTTCCATTAGTTGACCCGTGAGGTAAAAAAACAGTGATGGAATCTAAAAGCAGCCGTCGAGACCACCACACTTGTCTTGCATTATTAGTTTTTAGTCAGCTTATTTACCAGGCTTAAGTAAGCTCTGGAAAGAGGAAATGATACTTGTTTATTGTGCAGTCGCCCTTTCAGAAGCATGTCACCTGTCTAACCCAACTGATGCATGTGTCTCAATGAAAGGAGGAGTGCAAAAACTCACTTGTAGAAAGCTTGATTTTCAACACCGCATTTCCAAAGGTGTTTGCAGGCCTCTGGAGTCGGTGCGAAGTACGTCAAGATGATCTTTTTGTCCTGTGCATAACGATAAGTCATTAAAGGTGCACTGATCCAGCACTGGCGTTGAAAGGTATTATTAAAGTTTCACAGATTGTGTCATTATCATAAGAAAATTTGTCATATTGTAATTATCTTCGACTTTACCAATGTTGGCATAATTAATGTTCTCACCTCCTTCTGATTTGCATATATATGGAATGTCTTTCCCTCAAACTTCAGTTTGGTCACCTCGTGCCTGTACAGGTGGAAGAATACAAGAATAAAGGTATTACAATATATAATATGTTATGAAATGTAAAGTATATTGTTGTATTTGTATATTGTGTAACTATTAAATTTCATATATACAGTGTGTGTGTGTGTGAATATTATTGTCCATGTAGTCTGTCTATTTATTTATTTATTTATTTATCTATCTGTCTTTCTGTCTGACCGCCCGTCATCTGTCTGTCTTTTATCTGTCTATCTACACATACATAAACTACATACAAAATGACCTTATAGTAAAACATACATAAATATCAATGTATTAATGTATATAACTAATTATCGTAAATGTATATAATTAATTACATTTACATTGTATATATATATGTATTTATATATATATACATTCACAAATACATACACAGTATATAATATAATATATAAACTACATAGATAACAATGTTACAGTAAAAAAAAACAATTATCCTGTATTATTCATGAAGTCTCGATAAAAAAGCATGAAATTACACAAATTAAATTAAGTTGACAACGTTTCCAAATTGTATTATATGAGCTCATTTTAATTATTAAAATGAACAAGACACTATAAACTTAAATATTCTTTTCCTGTTGTATTTCTCACAAACAAACACACAGACAAATCAATTCTGCACTTTTTCTTTGCTCTTGCTTTACTTGTGGCATACATTATACACTCACCGGCCACTTTATTAGGTACACCTGTCCAACTGCTCGTTAACACTTAATTTCTAAGCAGCCAATCACATGGCGGCAACTCAGTGCATTTAGGCATGTAGACATGGTCAAGACAATCTCCTGCAGTTCAAACCGAGCATCAGTATGGGGAAGAAAGTTGATTTGAGTGACTTTGAACGTGGCATGATTGTTGGTGCCAGAAGGGCTGGTCTGAACTAGTCAGAGGGCTAGTCAGAAACTGCTAATCTACTGGGATTTTCACGCACAACCATCTCTAGGGTTTACAGAGAATGGTCCGAAAAAGAAAAAACATCCAGTGAGCGGCAGTTCTGTGGGCGGAAATGCCTTGTTGATGCCAGAGGTCACAGGAGAATGGCCAGACTGGTTCGAGCTGATAGAAGGGCAACAGTGACTGAAATAACCACTCGTTACAACCGAGGTATGCAGCAAAGCATTTGTGAAGCCACAACACGCACAACCTTGAGGCGGATGGGCTACAACAGCAGAAGACTCCACCGGGTACCACTCATCTCCACTACAAATAGGAAAAAGAGGCTACAATTTGCAAGAGCTCACCAAAATTGAACAGTTGAAGACTGGAAAAATGTTGCCTGGTCTGATGAGTCTCGATTTCTGTTGAGACATTCAGATGGTAGAGTCAGAATTTGGCGTAAACAGAATGAGAACATGGAACCATCATGCCTTGTTACCACTGTGCAGGCTGGTGGTGGTGGTGTAATGGTGTGGGGGATGTTTTCCTGGCACACTTTAGGCCCCTTAGTGCCAATTGGGCATCGTTTAAATGCCACGGCCTACCTGAGCATTGTTTCTGACCATGTCCATCCCTTTATGGCCACCATGTACCCATCCTCTGATGGCTACTTCCACCATGTCACAAAGCTCTAATCATTTCAAATTGGTTTCTTGAACATGACAATGAGTTCACTGTACTAAAATGGCCTCCACAGTCACCAGATCTCAACCCAATAGAGCATCTTTGGGATGTGGTGGAACGGGAGATTCGCATCATGGATGTGCAGCCGACAAATCTGCGGCAACTGTGTGATGCCATCATGTCAGTATGGACCAAACTCCCTGAGGAATGCTTCCAGCACCTTGTTGAATCTATGCCACGAAGAATTGAGGCAGTTCTGAAGGCAAAAGGGGGTCCAACCCGTTACTAGCATGGGGTACCTAATAAAGTGGCCGGTGAGTGTACATTCTCTACAGATTGAACCACATAAAACAAAACCCAGAGACACTGAGACTCAGCCAGACCTCACAGACCTGTTGTGGCGAGATGACTTTAAACATGCCCTCTGGATGGAGATCTGCTGAAGGATAATTGGACACCTGTCTGCTCTAACGGTTAAGAAAGAGGCAGATGCTCGGGCCCTTTTGGCTGGGAATGTATAATACAATATAATAAAACCAGCTGTGACTTGTATACCCAGAGCCTGTCGCTAGGCGAGAATGACTCATTATTTTCAGCTTCACGATGCATGTGTGTATGCATGTCTGTGTTTACTCAACCCCGAAGACGTCAATAGAAGTTCAGTAGGGAAAAGAGGCAAGTATTAGTGACTCACCATTTGAGGAAATGGACTCTCTTGTTCCCTTGAAGCACGACAAAACCGAACGGAGTGAAGGCTAGGAAAGCTGGGTTCCCAGACACATCCTGTGATGAACAGCGACAGAGGAGAACCACGTCATCTTCCTTTCTTAACAAGCAGACATTGAGTAGGAAGACTCAATACCGGACCGTACAGCAAGTGATCATAACAACAGAGCCTTCATACTTGTGTTGTCAGGCTAACTTTATGTAATGTTTAGCTGTAAAACGGGAAGTTTTGGGCTTTTACGGTTGAGATTAAACTGACAGTAGATGTTTCTCAACAGGAGTCAATAAATTCAGTTAAAACTTTGGGGGAAAAAAACCTCACTGAAAGAACCAAGCGTTATAGAGGACACGTTTTAGTAGACTATTTGAATGTCCTTGTTGATATATTTTTACATTCAATTTCTATACGGCTTTACAATATATATAAATATATATATATATATATGGTTTTATACACAAATAATAAAACTACTGACTATAATACATTGACTATATTAAGTCTCTGGCTATAAGTATTCTTGTATATATTTTATGCTCAAAAATATATATTCATATATATATATTACTGTTCAAATGTTTAGGATTTGTACGATTTTTTAAATGTTTTTGAAAGAAGTCTCTTATGCTCACCAACGCATTTATTTGATCAAAAAAAGAGTAAAAAAAAGTAATATTGTGAAATATTACTACAATTTAAATAACCCTTTTTATTTATAAATATATTATAAAATACAATTAATTCTTGTGATGCAAAGCTGAATTTTCTTGAATGAATTTCTTTCTTCTTTTTTTGAATGAATTTTTTCTTGAATGAATTTTAGAGAATTTTTGAAAAAGTTTTGAATTTTTGAAAATTTTCTGAATTTTTGAAAATGTCTGAATTTTTAAAAATGTCTGAATTTTTAAATATGTCTGAATTTCTGAAAATTTCTGAATTTTTGTAAATTTCTGAATTTTTGAAAATTTCTGAAATTTTTCTTTCTTTCATTACTCCAGTCTTCAGTGTCACATGATCCTTCAGAAATCCTTCCAATATGCTGATTTGCTGTTCAATAAACATTTCTTATTATTATCAGTGTTAAAAAAAAGTTGTGCTGCCTTATATTTTCGGGGAAACTGATAAAGAACAGCATTCATTTAAAACTGAAATCTTTTGTGACATTATAAATGTCTGTATTTTTTTTATCATTTTAATGCATCTTTGCTAAAAAAAAAAAGTATATGTACACACATATGTACAGTATATATACAAATCACACTGACTGACTTATGGCTTCTAGAGACTTGTGGAATCTGAATGGGAATCTTTCTGTGTTTCATGAACATTCCATCATTATGAAAGGGTCGTTGGTTTGAAAAAGTTTGAGAAACTGCAGTACACAAATAGCTTGTGGATGCGTCAGATAGAGCCATCTAACCTTGCACGGATGAGGATCCACGCCGTATGTTTCAAGCATTTGTGCTTTCTGCAGGAACTTCAGCTCCGCAGTCTCTGGAGTTTGACCTCTGCAAAACAACACATTAAAACACCATCTGTCATTCAGTGGTGCAACAGCACATCAGAGTCACAGATTACAACCAAAGAAGTGTATTCAAGTGTGCTATTAGTATACATCTTTTAAACTACAAATAAGACAGTATCCTTTCAGTCAACTTTGTATGTACTTCTCAGAAATATACTTAAGTATACTTGACTTATACTGACAGAAAAGTATATTTGGCCAAAACGTGTAAACTGTAAAAAATTTGGGTTGGGAGGTTAGAATTTTTTTACAGTGTACTCAATCTTTTGATGGAGATATTACAAGTATAATTAAGTATTCCAAGTATACTTGGCTTGTGGTTGTGTTTACTCTTTTGATCGAGTAGCCTATTAAATACTTTTTCACAAAGTTTTACATTACATTGTTTGAAAATATTGATTAATAAAGAAAACAGATTCCTAGCTCTTAGTTCCTAATTCTGAGTATGTGAATTTTTGCATAGTGCACTTGTAGTGTACATTGGAATTTACTTCAAATCTACTTAAAGTAGAGTTATTAACTTAAAGTTACTGTATATTTCAAGTATAAAAATTAATATATAATAGGAACATAGTATAATTGAGGTGTAAAAAAAATATAAATAGTAAACTACATGTATAATGTTAAGTTCACTTACAAGTATACTTGCAGTACTAAACTACTATTCACTGAAAGTATACTACAAAGTGTACTTTCATAAACTAAAAAAGTGCTACAAGTATTTGACTAGTAAACTATCAGCATACCTCTAAGTTCACTTGTAGTATAGTTGCAGTATAAATGAAATATGTAGTTCTAAACTATTTGTGTACTCAAAGTTTAAAAGTATACTTTTGTACACAGAGAAGTAGAATTGAAATAGTACACTTAAAAGTATACTACTAATACACTGATATTAGTATACTTACTACATAAAGTATACTTGAACTTTTCTGTTGAACTTGAAAGTATACTGGTGCCACAGGTATTGGATTGAATCCACATTATTATTGATTTTGTACAAAGTGGAAAATCATTGCAATGCAAAAAAAAACAAAAAACACCTGTCCAGAAACATAATGTTGATGTGAATATAAATAAACGCATCTATTGTGACACTTTACACTTGAACGACATCGATTAGCAGCCACTAAATAGAAAGCAAAACCAAACCGACCAGACAGTTCAAGTATCGTCTCTCCAGGAAACCTCGTACCGATTCATGTTTTATTCAGCACCAGCCATTCAACATTCAAGACCTTAATGCAACAAGACCGCCTGCCTTGTATTTCAATCCAAATCAGAGAAGAAAAGCGACCCTTAACGTCGCGAGAAAGCGATTGTTTACAGACATCCGGACTGACTTACGTCCTGGATCATTCTGAAGATCTGAACAGACATATTCACTCTACATTCCCAACATAATTTACGCACATAATAAGACTGATGAAGTGTGTCTCGTCATGGAACAGTACCACCACCAGAGGGCAGCAGTAATCATGCTCCTGTTTGGTGGATCATCTAGTTTGGTGGGACCATAACTTCCAAAATATAGCAGTCAAAACGCCGTCAACAGCTTCTAAACACTTCTAATCTGCATATTTTTAAGTACATTTCACATATGGAATTAAGTAAAATCTACTTAATCTACTTAAGATTTTCAACTTAGTTGAAGTTTACTTTTTTAGAATACTCTGTTTTAAGCAGTGGCGCAAAAAGTGGGTATGCGCTATATGCGGCGCATAGGGGCGCAGCACCATGGGGGGCGCCAAAGCGATGGTAAAAAAAAAAAAAATATATATATATATATATATATATATATATATATATATATATATATATATATATATATATATATATATATATGCCTATACTGTATTTTCTATATGTAGCTGCTGTTGTGCGTTTTTTAAATCATTTCTGCATTTCTTCAATGTTATATAAAATTTTAGAGGACTAACAGGCTAGAGTAGGCTCCCTCATGGAGAAGGGGGGCGGGGTGATATCGCGAGCGCGCGGGGGCGCCGTGAGCGCTGAGCGAGCAGGTACGAGTAGTGAGTTGTCGTCGAAAAAGATGGATACCGTAAAACAAAATGCTGTGGGGCTAAAAATAGAAAAAGAAAGAGGGAAAAGGAGGTGGCATGTCAACTGATGCGACAGCAGCTAAATAAGTGCATGCTGAAAGCCAACAGGTAGGATTTAAAGTGTGACATCCAGGCATGCAGGTTATCTATATCTCTGTGGCCATCGGGACTACCGGGAGATTCCCGGTGGGCCGACGTGCTTTTTCGGCCGATACATCTCATACTTTTTTTTTTTTGTCTTAACGGCCCATAAAACGACTCGGTTACTAACGTAACCTCGGTTCCCAGAGAGGAGGGAACGAGTATTGCGTAAGCTTACGCTATGGGAAAACTCCTTTTCTCGAGAAATATTGAAGTCTTTATGTAAAACGCATTGCAGCTGCACAGCATACAGCAATGAGCGAGGCAGCTCGGTCATTGGCTGTGCTGCGGCAACTTGCACGAACCAATGACGGGGCGACTCTGAACCCGCTTCCAATGAGCGTGCTTCGCGCCCACGCGCGTCAGAGCCCGCCGAGATGGGCGTGGCCAAGGGCTATATATTGGGCGCCCCGTCGTCTGAGTTCTTTAGGTTCAATTCGACTGAAGCAAACTGACCAAGCACAAGCACGGCAGATTACGCAATACTCGTTCCCTCCTCTCAGGGAACCGAGGTTACGTTAGTAACCGAGTCGTTCCCTTTCGAGAGGTTCCTCCTATTGCGTAAGCTTACGCTATGGGAACGCCATGTAAAACGCCGTGCGTGCTGACTTCGCTTCTATTAAGCCGGAGGCCGGAGCCTGAGCCTTTGAGCAAAGTGATTATCCAACAAGCCAGCCGAAGGCGGGTTTTATAAAGGACAACGTGGAACGGCCCGATGGGCGTCCAGAGACACACACAAGCACATTTTCATGTACTGTCATGTATGAAAAATCCTCCACATCAGTTTCAAGATGTGATTCTATGAGGGAGGAGACAATGCTCAGCATGTACACACCCCAGCCTATGATGGTTAGACCGACAGTATGTTAGAATGCAATGAGGGGACCTGTAGGTTATAAAACCTGATAAATGTGGACGGTGAGGCCCAGCCTGCAGCCGCACAAATATCTTGAATGGGTATCCCACTCGACCACGCCCACGAGGAGGCCATGCCTCTCGTAGAGTGAGCTCTGATGCCCAAGGGGCACTGAAGGCCCTTGGCTTCATAAGCCAGCGCTATAGCATCAACTATCCAGCGCGATATTCTTTGCTTTGACACAGCCAGACCTTTAGTGCGGCCGCCAAAGCATACGAACAACTGCTCTGTCTGTCTGAACAGGGCAGAGCGTTCCAAATATACTCTGAGTGCCCTGACCGGGCAGAGTAAATTAGCGTCACCTTCGTCTGCTGGGGACGATAGCGCGGCCAAAGATATCACCTGTGCTCTGAAAGGAGTAGAGAGCACCTTAGGAATATACCCGTGTTTTGGCCTGAGGACAACCCTGCTGTCGTTAGGTCCAAACTCCAGGCAGTTAGCGCTTGAAGACAGCGCGTGCAGATCGCCCACTCTCTTGACCGAGGCGAGAGCCAGCAAGAGAGCAGTTTTGAGCGAGAGCTGTTTAAGGTGCACAGTTCGGAGGGGTTCGAACGGGGCACGCTTAAGTGCGTCCAGGACCGTGGCCAGGTCCCAAATCGGCACCGAGGGGGGGCGTGGGGGATTCATCCTCCTGGCGCCCCTCAGGAAACGAACAACTAGGTAGTTTTTCCCTAGTGTGCGTCCTTCGACCGGTTCATGTGATGCCGCTATGGCAGCCACATATACTTTGAGCGTGGAGGGGGTGCGGCCTGCCTCCAACAGTTCTTGTAAGAAAACGAGCACACTCGGTACTTCGCATGTCTCAGGGTTCAGGTTCCTGGGTTTACACCAGTCACTGAACACCTTCCATTTCTGGGCATATAAGCGCCTCGTAGAGGGCGCTCGCGCCTCAGTGATGGTTCTCAACACTCCACTGGGGAGGTTCCCGGGAATCCGTTGAGGGGCCACGCATGGAGGGCCCACAGATCGGGGCGGGGATGGAGGATCATCCCGTTGGCCTGCCTGAGGAGATCTAGCCTCAGTGGAATCGGCCATGGGGCAGATTGCATCATCTGCATCAGTTCTGGAAACCACGTCTGGTTCTTCCAGAGTGGGGCTACCAGGAGCACTGCACATTTCTCCTCCCTGATCCGACTGATGACCTGAGGTAGCATCGCGACCGGAGGGAAGGCATACAGCGGGCGGCTCGGCCAGACTTGGGCGAGCGCGTCTGTGCTCTTTGAAAAGAAGAGAGGGCAGTGCGCATTTTCCTTGGAGGCAAAGAGGTCGACCTCTGCTCTGCCAAAGGTTTGCCATAACCACTGAATCGTCAGGGGGTGGAGAGACCATTCTCCTGGGAGAACTTTGTCTCTGGACAGCATGTCCGCTCCCTGGTTCAGAACGCCTGGCACATGCGCTGCTCTCAGTGAGCGCAGGTTGCGCTGGGACCATAGGAGGAGCTCCCTGGCCATCGAGTGCAGGGAGCTCGATCTGAGTCCACCCTGACGATTTATATGCGAGACTACCGTCATGTTGTCCGTTCGGACTAGAACGTGCTCGTCCTTCAGGTACGGGAGCAGGGCTCTGAGAGCCAAAGCGACCGCTTTCAATTCCAGACAGTTTATATGTAGGCGCTTCTTCGGGTTTGACCATAAGCCGGAGACAGGCCTGCCCTCGTAAAGGGCCCCCCAGCCTATTTTGGAGGCATCTGTCGTGATCATTTTTCTCCTTGTGTTCACGCCCAAACTCACACCGGACTGATACCAGTCGACAGCTTTCCAGGGCGTCAGGGCTTTTATGCAGCCGTGATTTGCTCTGATTAAAAAGTGGCCCGAGCGCCACGCGTGAGTGGGGACACGGCTTTTGAGCCAGCGTTGGAGAGGA